TGCAGGGGCCCACAGGGGGAGGCTGCAGGGCCATGAAGGGATGCAGGAGAGGCTGTGGAGCTGCAGCACAATCAGCATGCAGTGCCAAAGCTCCCCGAGCCCTCCCCTCTCTCCCAGGGGATGCGGGTGCCAGGCACATCCCATGCCAGCTGGGCCAGCTGGACAATATCCCCTTTGAAGGGCACAAACCCAGCTGGGGTGGAAAAACCCTCCATATTAGGGAGGACAGGACCTGCACTTCAGAGAAACACTGCTGAGCACCCCTACCATCAAACAGCCCCACACGTGGGAAGTGGTTTGACAGCTCTGAATGAATCGTGATGCCAGTAAAGAGCAGCGCCTGAGCACGGCTGCTCACTGGCAGCTGCAGAGCTCACACCTCGCTGTGGGACTGGGGCTCACAGCTCCCCACAGTGACACAGCCCTGCCAGGACCCTGCAGAGAGCGGCCAGCACTGCACAAGGGAGGCCAGGGGCCATCAGTCCCCAGCCCTGGGGGGGTTTAACACGTGCGTGGATGTGGCATTGGGGACTTGCATTACTGGTGGCTCTGGTAATGCTTGGAGGATGGTTGGACTCAATGACCTCAAAGGGCTTTTGCAGCCTAAATGATTCAATGATTCTATGATCAGGGATGTCCTCCAGCTGTGGCAATAGCCCTGACACAAGTTTGAAGGTTATCCCTGCTCTCAGAGGAGGTTGTGGTTATAACCTGTGGGGATCAGCCAGACATCCCTGAGGCCACCTTCACCCATCCCACCCAAAAATGCCTAGAATGCTGCAGAGCAGGAGCACCAATGAAAATGAAAACTATTAGTGTCTTGTTTATTTTTATTTTTCCTTGAATATAAAAAGCAGGCAAGGCCCACTGGGTTCATCAAAAGTAGGTTTGGTATTCATAGAATCATAGAATCAAAGAGTGGTTTGAGTTGGAAGGGACCTTAAAGAGCACCTTGTTCCACCCCAGGGACACCTCTCACTGTCCCAGGTGCTCCCAATGTCCAGCCTGGCCTTGGGCACTGCCAGGGATCCAGGGGCAGCCCCAGCTGCTCTGGGCACCCTGTGCCAGGGTCTGCCCACCCTCACAAGGAAGAATCCCTTCCTCATATCTATTCTAACTCTACCATCTTCTAGCTTCCATCCCAGCAGAACTCTGAATTTTCAGCCAGGCCCTCCCTGCTTTTTTCTGGGGGACTCAACAATGGTCTGAGCAAGATGGGCAGAGGATGCAGCCCCAGCAGAGACACTTTTTCTGGTCCTCCCAGACATTTGGGGTCTGAGGGATGCTGAAGGGGGTGGGTTGGGTATGTCCCAGTCCCTGGAGCCAGCAGTCAGGGTGAACCAGGGACACAGCCCCACAGTCACCTCCCTAAGGCTCAAAAATTGCAAAACCTCAGGTTTTCCCTGTTTCTTTCTTTTCTTTTCATGCCAAGAATGGAGAGAGTTGTGGAGCAAAGACCTTTTTTTATTTCACCTTAATTTTCTTTGAAATACTGTACAGTTCATCTTCTTTGGTTTGCTCTGCTTCAAAAGAAAGGCCAGGAAAAATCAGAGGCATCAGCCATTAGAAAAAAGAGTATTCCCTAGAATATTTTATTTTGTAAAATGCCTTTGTTGGAGTAAGAATGGGACCTTTAGCGAGATACACGTTTCTTATCAGTTGTGACCAGCTTCCTGTCCTGACATGACTTAGGGGAAACCAAGTGTTTTCTGTGCACCAGCCAGAGGTGACCAGCCGAGGCGGCCGTGCTCCCCCTGGAGCCCCCACACTGGAGACAGATGCTCCCCAGGCACTCCCACAGGCACAGCTTCTTACTGCAGTCAGTTCCAGGATGTGACATCATCTAAAAAATTCCAACATTTCTCCAGCAGTGTCAAGGATGGGGCGGGTGAAATTTCTGGACGCTGGTGGAATGCCATCAGTGCTGGAGCTGGAGCAGGACAGTATGGAGCTGCTGCAGGGGTTGGTGGACCTTGGCTTAGGGGCAATTTCTGAACTCAGGACATCTTTAATGACTTCCTTTTCTGAGTAAATCCCAATTCCTCAGCATTAAACCCTGCTATAAATAGCAACTTACATCACCCAGTCTCACCAGTTTTTTTCCAGGTTCTCCTTTCATTCAAGACAGAGAATTTCCCTATTTCTGACAGAACTTATTTTGGGCATTTGCTTTACTTAGCACTTTCTCCTGGGGTTTTTTGGGGGACTTGTAGAAAAAACCTCAATCATATCCCTCTATGTAAAACAGGTCAACATCAACCAGACTCCTTCAGATGGCAGATCCCACTGACTCCATGCACTGCCTGCTGGGTCAGGAATTCTGGAACCACTTCATGGGAAAATTCCTCATTACACCACCACTTTGCTGTGTAATTAAATTAATCCCCCCAGAGATGCTCCAGCCCATTTTTCCCACTCTTCCATGGCCATCTTCATGTGGCGTGTCCCAGGGAAGATGGTTCCTCATCTGAGACACACTCAACCTCCCTTCCTAAAAGGGTAAGAGCTGGAAGAGATGACTTTCTCTTTTCATCATCATTGGAATGTGGGAAATGGGTAAGAAAACATTTTTTAGGAGGATGTTGCATCCCAGACATCACTGGCATGACTGTAACCTCCCACCTCCATCCAGCTGGCCATGAGCTGGCAGAGCAGGATCTTTTACCAGATTTCTAAGGAAGAATTAGATTCCTAGAAACCAAGTAATTTGGCTTTGGGGTTACTTTTGGCTCTCAGCAGTAGAAAAGTTTCAGCCCTTACCAGTCCCCTATAAGACACATTACCTAAACTAAACTGATCCTAAACTGATTTAGGAAATTTTTGCTTTTATTTATTTCAAAATAGGCCCTGAGAGTCTAAAATAATTGGATGTGCTTGCTGACAAAGGGATTAAGGCACAGAGGTCTCCAGCTGCCTGAAAGGAAAAATCTCTCATTGAAAACATTAGAATAATCAAATCAGATCCCAAACTAATTCTTCTGTTTCCATGAAACTCATCTTTTAGCAGAACATTCTCCACATTTTGGCACTGTGCACCTCAGGAGCAGGATGTGAGCGCTTGGCTGGAGGTTCCAGATCTCCAGGTGCAACCCACAGATGCTTGAAGGCACAGTCAGAGGGTTCAGCTCAGAGGCAAACCATGCTCCTACATCCATGAACATCCATATTCCCTGAGCAGCCAGACAGGATCCAGGGGAGCTGATGCTCCCTCCCTCCTGGCCCAGCTGGGTCCCTCGGAACACCAGGGTCCCACCTCCTGCCTGGCTGGGCGCCATGCATGTGGAGGCAGACTCTCCTCATCCTCCCAGGATGTTTGGAGACAAGCAAGATGACAAACAGAGTGAGGCAATGGGATATAGACTGATGAGTGAGCCTGCAAGGTGCCTCTCTGCAAAGGGAAATACGGAAATGGGCCAGATCAGCTATGGAAGGGGATGCTCAGCTTGGCAAGAGCCATATCTGCTTCATGGGGTAGATCTGCCCTCCCCAGCCTGACTGAGAGACACAGCTCCCAGCAGGAGCCTCCCTGAGGCTGGGGACAAGTCTGGGGCATCTCCTGTGCCTGGTCCTCTGGAGCCCTCCCTGCCCACCTGGAGCATGGAGCTAACTCAGCACAGCTGGTGGAGAGCTGAAGGATACTGAGAAAACACCAGGTTATTTACAGAAGGTTCTGGGGCAGTAACTGGAAACCTTTAATAGAAAGAGGATGAGTCAGTACCCAGTGCTGCTGGGGGGAGTGCAGAGGTGCCAGGGTGAGGTTGCATTTCTCCATTTACATTATAAACCTTCCACTGTTATTTAGGAAGTATCTATCAAGACAGCACCACTCCAAATAACAAAATGGAGACATTCCCCAGGAATGTCTGCTTTCTTCTAGAGAACAGGAACTCCGAGAACATCTCACTACAGCTGGACAGCCCTCAGCTCTTCCCAGAGCACTCATCACCTCCCTGCCCAGCCTTCCCTCTCCTCCCCAGGAGTCTGTCAGAGCTCCATGGCTCTCTGTGTGGAGGATGCTGGCTTCTTCCCAGTGACCCATCCCTGTCTCAGCCCTTGCCCAGCCTTCACAGAGCTGCTCCTCTCTCTGACACATTGTACTGCTTCTCCAGTCTGTGGTCATTTTCCCTCATCAGCTCAGACAGGATAACCTTTTCTTCCCACCATCCTAGTTTCTGTCCATGCTCTCACCACACAGTTAATCTCCTTTTTCAGAATCACTGTTTCCTTCCTCACCCTGCTCCTGGAACTCTTTCTGCCTCATCCTCAGGGTTACAAATATCCACACTTCTTTCAGCTCTCTGCATCCCCAGACTACCAGTAACTCTTGAAATGCAACTGTATAATCTTTATTTTAAAAAAGCAACGGTTTGATTAAATTGCAATTTAATGTCTCCTTATAGGACTTGGGGTACATCAGGCAGTTCCAGGAGATAACAAGTAGCCCATCTCAGCACTCCTTTCCTTTAAATTAAGGAGGAAACTTGAGAGTTTCAGCTTCTCAGATTCCTCTTTCATGCCCACCACCACCTATGCCAGTGCCTGCAGTGCTGTCACAGCTGCAGGACATGCCCTGAGGCATCTCCAGCCATGGGGAGCACACGCAGAACACTGGTGACAGCTCCCACCTCCTGCTCCTGGGGCACCAGGGGCTTTGAAAATATGGGACAATCCTTGGTAAAGGAGACTTCAGTCTCTTTCTCCCTAGCCAGCCTCATCCCACTAATGCTTCTGGGCCCTCCAGCACAGTTCTTTCATGGATACACTCTCTCCTCCAAGCTGCCAGGAAGGTTGGGTAAGAGGAGACTTAACAAATGCAGGAACCTCCACAGAGGAACTTCTTACTAAGGGACAGGCATGATGGAAGCAGAAATAGCCACAGTGACTGTTTCATATCCTGTGTCACTGGGGAGGCACTGAATCGAGCAGGGAGCTTCACTCTTCCGGAGCTGGGGCTGCCCTGTTCCATCACGGGACTGCAGCACAAGTGCACTCTGGTGGAAATTCCACCATGCCTACGCAAGCTCTGCACAGACCTCTCGCTCCATAAATTGAGAGGCTGCTGATGGTCTCAGCATCAGACAGCAAAGAGGCTTCCAAGCTACCCTTGCCTGCTCCAGCTCCAGCCACCACTTCTCCAGCAACATGAAGGTGTTTGTGGTTGCCCTCACCATCCTCATTGTTGCCTTCTGCTACCAGACCTCTGCTGCTCCACGTAAGTCCAGGGTCTCCTCACCTTCCCTAACTGGGGACAAGAGAGGTGTCCTGCTGGGACAGCCCCTTCTGATAGCAATTCCACTCTGGGTCCCTCCCTCTGTCCAGCATCTTCTGGCAGGTGCTCCAGGGTTATGGGACAAGAAGAGCTCAAAGACCATTTGCATAAAAGCTAAAGGTTTGCTACCCTTTTTAGTAAAAGCACAGCCATGCCCACCCCCCCCACCCCCCGCTACAGGGATCAAATGTGGGCACCCCGAGGAAGGCTAGGGCTGGCCATGTTTGGGCTGGGAGGTGTTGCCTGGTGGCATGGGCTGTGTCAATGCCAGCTCAGGGTGAACCCAACAGGGAAATAACTGAAGGAAGAAGAAAAAAGACCCCATCTTTTCTCTTCCTCCTCCACATAATCCCTGTCCCCTAGACCCAGGGATGGGTAATCCCAGCTCCCTGCCTTGTCCCCCATCCCTTGCCACTGCTCATGACTTCTTTGCCCTTCACAGTTGGCTCCGACCCACCAACCTCCTGCTGTTTCTCCTACGTCTCGCGGCAGCTGCCCCGCACCTTTGTGAAGGATTACTACGAAACCAACAGCCAGTGCTCCCAGCCTGCTGTCGTGTGAGTCCCTCCTCCGGGGCAGGGTGGTTTGGGGCTGAGGAGCCAGGGAGGGAAAGGCCCTTTTCCAAAGACAGGGAAGGAAAGCTGGGATAGACAAGAAGAACAAGGTGATGCTTGGAGCACAAAAGCCATATGCTGCTCCTGCTCTACCCCTTTGCAGATAAAACTGGCGGCCTCTGGATAGGATGGGCACGGCATGGAGCTGCTCATCTTTGGGAGAGGCAGGACTTGGGCAGGGCTCTTGTCCTGGCCCTGGAAGTATCCAAGGCCGGGTTGGATGGGCTTGAAACAAACTGGTCTAGTGGAAGATGTCCGTGCCCATGGCAGGGAGTAGAACTGTATAAGCTTTAGGGTGCCTTCCAAAGCAAGACATTCCATAACTCTATGATTCTGTGATCCTCCATTCAGTGCTCTCCCACCAAAACCTGACCTCCTTGCACTCCACAGGTTCATCACCAGGAAGGGCCGGGAGGTCTGTGCCAACCCCAGGGAGGACTGGGTCCAGCAGTATGTGAACGAGCTGGAGCTGGACTGAGCTCCTGCGCAGAGCCAGCTGCTCCCTGTCCCCACTGCCGGGAGGGACAGGTGTCACCAGCTGGGGTCCACTGGAAGGGCTTCAATGTCATTTAGAGCTAGCTGAGAAACTGAAAACATTCCAAAACACAACTTAATGTTGTGTATTTAATTTTTTATAGGGGAGGGATCAAGTGCAATAACTCTGAGATAAAAAAAAAAACTTATTTAATATGTTTTTGGGGGGTTTTTTTGCCTGTAGACTCAGATTATAATTTCTGTATTTAAGTAACTATATTTTTTACATAAAATTAAATTCAGATGCCAATAAATAAATATTTTTGTAAGAATCTTCTGTGTTTGCCTCTGTTACAATCCTTTGGGGTGACAATAGCTGAAATTAAAATAGTGACAGCAGCTTCTTTATTTCCTTTTCCACATTGTCAAAACTTCTACAAGCTTTCTGTGTCTGAACATCTTGTTTTGCAAAATAGTAACAAGAAAAGCCATGAAGGAGGAGTTGTGAGAAAGGCAGGGATTACATTCAGGTAACTTGTCTTAAGCTTTTTCTAAGGTATTTAATTTCCATTCATTATGACAATTGGAAGCTCATTAAATTCCATTTCTGGCCCCATTACAATCAATCAAAATATTACCTTTAGGGGCTGAAATTTAACATATTGGCTGTTTTAGGGAAAGCTTTCTGAGAGCTACAGATAAAATGGATCAGTTATTTCCAGACCCGAGGGTGAAAAAAATATGTTTCACTGAAGAATTTTAGAATTATTTCATTAAGCTCTCATTTTTCTGGGACATGAAACTTGGCAAATATTCCCTTAGTAATACTTTGACTCCAAAACCTGCTCATCTCTGGAGATGCCTGTCCAGAGATGACCATGCCAGACCCCAGCCCAGGGCAGGACCTGCCCCTGCAAGGGAACATCTCCCCTGGTGCCCCCCTGGAGCTGAAGGAAATGGAGCCCCCCTTAGTGAAGGTATTTCCCATGTCCTTAATGTCATTTCCCACACCACTGATGGTGTTTGGGATGCTCTGATCAGCTCTGGACAGGATCTGCTGGATCAGCAAAGAGTATTTGGGTTCCTCCTGCCTGGATCTCTGGTGCACTCCACGGAACAACGCTCAGTTTAACACACTGCATTCCCATGCTGGATTTGGGATTTCAAACAGGAACACCAGTGGGACACAGGCCAGCAGGGCAGAGGCAGCCCTGGGGAGGGGGACCTTGAGCAGAGGGTGGGTGGTGAGCAGAGAGAGAAGGATCAAGGGGGCTGGAGGGATCAGGGGGCCGTGGGTGTGTCTGAGGGAGGAAGGAAGACATCACTCCTCACTCGGGGAGCTGCAGGCCCTGGCTCCTCAGCCCACGGGGCCCTGCGGATCCCATCTGTCATCCCACGCCAGTGCTGACAGCATCCAGCTTAAAATAGCACCCTGACAGGAGGGAAGTGAGGTAGAGAGCAGGACCAGAGCCCCCTTCCCTGAGATGCTGCTGGGAGAGCAGGGAGCCCATGGCTGGGAGGTTTAGATGGGCATTGCCCCTGGCATGTGAAGGGGCTGGCTTTGGTGAAAGCCTGTACTCACCAGACCCTGCACACCCCAGGGCCAGCTCCAGAAGGCAGACTCATCCTGGCCACTGAGTACCAGCCACCCTGGGTGCTGCTGGATAGATTCACCCTGGGAACTGAGATTGGCACAAAGCCTAGTGCCCAGAGCTGCCCTCATCCAGGGAACAGCAGGAACAGGAGACAGGAGGGGGAAGAGCTGTGATGGGATTATCCCAAAATCACTTGAGCCTCCACAGTCCCTCTTGGACACAAGCCCTGCCTGCCTCTGTGGCACTGGGAGCAGTCCCACAGCCTCAGGTTCCTCGTGGAAGGGCACAGCGTGATCCAGTGAGTACCATCCAGCCAGGCAATGCGGCACACAGGCTGTCTGCCTTGGGCAGTGTCCCAAAGCACCCAGGGCCATTCCAGCCTCCCACAGCCCTCCCCCTCCACCCCAGGGTACCTCAGCTGGCTCCTCACTGCTGTTCTGGGAGCCTGCAGGAGCCCAGAATTACTCATGTTTTTCTTGATCTTGCACCCGCCTGCGTGTGACAGCTCAGAAAAGCGTGAGGAGCTGCAGCTGCACACCCCCAGCAGAGAGGTGAGAGCTGATCACCTTCTGCAGAGGATGAGGAGTGGCTCAGAGCATCAAGGGCTGCACTACCCGTGGCACCATCAGCTTAGATCCTCACCCAGAGGTCACCCTGCCATGGGCCCCGGATGTATTTGTGGTTGTGCAGCTGCTTGAGGCTGATTTTGCTGCTAGAGCTGAAGCATGCAATGACATCGTCACACCATGCAATCCTTGGGTCACAGAATCATGGAATCATAAAATCATGGAATAGCTTCAGTTTGATGGGACCTCAAAGCTCATCCTGTGTCACCCCCTGACATGGGCAGGGACATCTTCTGTCATTGCAGGCCCCCAGCCTGGTAATAATTAGCATTGAGTCCATGATTCACAGAAGGCTGATCAATCACTTTATTAAACTATTCTCATTAAGAAACCCATTGATTTTATAGACAGTTACAATGCAGGTGGACCCAACTGGTCCTTCAAACACCATCACCAGTGGCCAATCAAGAAACCACCCTTTGGTAGACAAATCTCTGTAACACATTCCACATGTTCACAACAGCAGGGGCAGCAAGTGAACATAAGAATTATTTATCATTGTTTTCTCTGATCTTCCCACAGCCTTTCCCAGCACAATGCCTGGGCCAGCTGTGCTGCTCTCTGTGGCCAGACAGCTGCTGCCACAGCCTCCCACTGTCCCAGGTTGCTTCAAGCCCTATCCAGCCTGGCCTTGGACCCTGCCAAGGCTGGGGCAGCAAAGCTGCTCTGGGCACCTGTGCCAGGGCCTGCCCACCCTCATGGCAAAGAGCTTTGTCTCCCCAGGAAGTTCACGCCCGGGCTCAGGCAATTGTGGTGTTCATCCCTCCCATGAATACTCTCATGGGGTGCTCAAGCAGGTGGACACCAGAGTCACAGAACATGCTGAACTGGAAGGGATCCTTAAGCTTAACAGATGAAAAGTGGAGTTGGGACCAAGAGGAGGGTGGTTTTCTGCAGAATTTTCTCTGGATTCAGATCAAAACAAGAACAATGTTGTTAAAGGGGTTTGGAATTTGTAAACTATCCATCCTGAAAGCAGAGTGTGGAATTTACTGAATGTTTTGTACAATGTATATAAAAATAATTCTCTTTTTTGGTTTTGTGCAGGTTGGTTTGTTTGGTAAAGTTCTTTTTTGTCGTTTTTTGTTTGTTTGTTTGTTTGTTTTGTTTTGTTTTGTTTTGTTTTTTGTTTGTTTGCTTTTTTTTTTTTTGACAGAAGTCCTGGGCAAGCCTAGCTGAGAACAAAAATTCAATCATTACTATGATAAGAATATTATTATTATATATGCATATGTCTCCATATTTGCTTTTTACATCACTCTAGTGTGTCTGTAGGTATTTTGAGGCACACCAAATACCAGAGGAATTGGAGGCTGGAGTCCAGATTCTCACAGAAGGAGGAGCAGGGCTGTGCTGATGGGGTGTGGATTGAAGCCAGTCAATGTTCATGGTCTGAGCTTTTACTTCTCCACTTTTCAGAGAGGAATTAGACACACTGAAGGCAAAATATTTGTGCACCCAGAAGTGCCAATTCTGTACCTTCCTCCCCATCCCCAGGGCCCTGGTTTGCCACAGGGACGGGAGGCTCAGTCTCCAGAACAGCTCTTCCCAGAGACACCGTGAGCAGGGGTGTGCCACTTCTGAGGCACCAGAATCCAAAAATATAATGTAAAAGGGGATAGGTTTGTAAGCTGCATACAAAAGTAGTGTTTTCCTAAAGTGGTGCAATATCCCAGACTCCCAGGACTAAGGAAGACATTTAAGTATTACAGAAGAAATTGTGCCTGGCTGTTGCCTTCCCTGTCATGGGTCACAAAAGGCAGAAGTGGCCAGGAAAACCCAAAAGAACATTTCTGCTGAGTTCTTAGAAAGATGCAGATGATGACTCACATCCCTCTGAGATGATGAAGCATTTTCTTCTAGAAGAGAAGGGTGCAACATTTTTAAGAAAGCACATTTCTAAATCTGCAGGTCTGTTAACTGTGCTGAATCATAACAAGGGACACTGCCAGTGCCTGGGAGTGAGGAAACTGCCCCGGGAGCCAATGCCTAAAGTGTTACTTTAATCTACGGATTGCTCAGAAAAACAGTAACACCCAATCCATGGTCCCTCTGCCGGGTTTGGTATCTCAAGGGATTCTTGCCTTCAGCCAAACCACACCTCTTGAGCAGAACAGTCCTTGGCTGGGGTAATTGATGGATTCCATGACCTTAGAGGTGTTTTCCAACCTGAACAAATCCATGATTCTGTGATTCTCTGCTGTGCTGTGCAGCCATTCCCTCTGGACGAGGCTGAGCAGGATCTGGTCCTTGCAAGACAAGATCTGTGTGGATGCCACAGCCAGACATCAATGCACTGCCATTGAGGATAGCGACAAACTCCACTTGCCATGGCTCAGAGAGAATTCCTGCTTGCAAATCACCCCAGGATCAGTTTCAGGCAGCAGGGAGCTCCCAAAGCCAGGGCCCAGTGCTCCCAGCTGCTCTCCAGCTGCCAACCAGCCTGGGCATCAGAGGGCACACTGGTATCTGTGCCAAGCAGTTCCTTAGAAGCACGTGATGCAGAGTCCACCAGATGGACAATCTGGGCGCCTACTCAGAACTATCTCATACCTTTGACCTCCACTGTCCTTCTCGGGGGAGACAGATTCATGATTGCTAGAAACACTTGGGATGCTGCATTGGGGTGAGCTCACATCCTTTTTACTCATTCATTTCTTCCCCTGCTTGCAAGATTTCTGAATTGTTGCACTTCCTTCTGCTTCTTCTGGAAACCCTTTACCCAGACAGGCCTGCAGCAAGTGCCACTTGTCCATCACCTGCCAGGATCAGGTTGCTCTGGACAGTTTCGATTCCATCACCTCCTCCCCCTCCTGGTTCAGTGACATTTACCCTGGTTCCCTCCCTGCACAACAGGTTTCTGTGGCTGTCCTCACCACTCCCTCCACCAACTGCCTCTGCTTTCAGCTCTTTGTTAAGGCCTTGAAGTTTGTCCTTTCTTATCTCCTCAGGCTCCATAAACTTCTCCATGGAGTGACTATAAGATCATAATCTCCATGTAATATCTTCAGGGTGTC